GGGGGGGGGGGGGCTTAAAGTGCCCGCGGCAACTTTGATGTCACCTAGCGTCTGAACGGCTAAAGCTAGAACCGCCAAATTTGGTGACTTTTCCTAAAATATTGTTGGCAACAAATCTGTATCAGTGGAATAAGATTATGATTTTTCTTGTTGCCATGGCAACGGGTTTCTGACAGGCATTTTTTGCCAAATTTAATTATTTCCATTTAAACAACAGAATTTTATGGGTTTTATGTCAAGTTACACATTGTTTCTAACATTAATAACATCACATATAATTATATGTAAATTTTATCATTAAAAATGCATAATCTATGCTAATTTGATGACGTCTTTGGCCAAAATCCAAGATGGCGGACCATATCATTAGATCAGGTAAATGCAGCTTATTTTCCTTAAAATTTCATCAATACTCCCATTTTTTTTTACAAAACAGGTTGATATGAATGTCTTTAGTCTGTTTACAATGTATTTTAGGCTTCATCCTGAAAAAAAACTATTTTTCAAAATTCAAGATTGATGATCCAAGATGACGGATATGTAATATATGCATGACGTCATTTTATGACGTCACCGGTGTTGCTATGGGCAACATAAGACTAAGTACATCCTAATATTCTGTCATAAACACTTTTGGTAAAGTTATGTCGTATACTGTTTAGTTTTCAGGGAATAACCTATCTAGACGGTTTTGGCCAATAAAATCACATTAATGACGTCATAATGACGTCATATTACGTCACAACGCAAGAAAAATTGTACGTATGATAAATTTTTACTAGTACATCATCCTCTGAAAATTTGGTGGTCCTACGATATACCGTTCTCGAGTTCTGAGGGGGGGCCGAATGAGCCCCCCCCCCCGGTCCCACCAAGCCCAAAAAAGCCCGGTCTAGATAGGGTTAAGTGACGCTTGACAGAACTATGAAATGATTATGCACATCTGGAGGTAATTGGCATAATTAATGAGGAAATTTTGTAAATCAGCTGCGTTACATTATAGGACTATCCAAGCGTGTGACATGTGATTGAGAACGAGAGAAACACAGGCAGATGTTGATTATGTAAATTAACACATAATTTGCATAATTAATGAGATCATGTTATAAGTCCATAAATGCCTGAAATTTCATACCTGGGGTATTTGAAAGTTAAGTGAAGGTGAACATCATTAAAACATAACTTATTCAAATAAGGACCTCATTTGCATAATTTATAAGGAAACAATAGAATGGCATTCATTATTGAAATAAGGCTGTCTCTTGCGGCGTAGGAATAATATTCACTTTGTCAGTCATAAAGATTACATCATTTGGCGAAGGTATGAGATCGCGGAACTCTAGTTACATGTAAATTCAATTTAAGAATGTAGTTTTACGATGTACCTTAGTGTAAATATAACAGTGAACACCAAGGTATGTCCCTAATAGTAATAAATGTTTAAATTGGTGTCCTCTCTCTCCCGATTTCAACAAAATCTCCGTGGCCTACCGGTCAGCATTGCCCTTAGGAAGGTGTCAGGTCACCGAAATGTCGGCTGTAAAAAAACACACTTGGTTGCGTAAATGTCTTTTCATCGAGTTACCAACCAGCAAAATAGCCAACTACAGCCGACCTTACTCCCGACCTACTGCTTACCATGGGTTCTGCAGTGTTCGGGATCGGAGACAATATTCTGCAATGTGTGACAGGGGCTTAAGGGGAGCACGAGAAGGGAGGATTCTTATTGAATCTCTCAACAAGAGTGGATTAACCGGTTGTACTGCCATGCCAAACTACATCTGCATATTCCAGACTAGGACTAATAAAGGACTAGTTCCTAAAATATTTACCTTTAGAGCTATAAGAACACTTACTTGGGAACATTACCTACATACATAGTTTGGGTGGTATTTCAAAGAAATATCAAATTTCAGAACTGTAATATTTTCGTCATTTGCAATAAGGCAAGAGTTAACATTTGCATTAAACTGATTGTGATTAAAATGAAATACCTTTAGATTCCAGCAGAATCCGTCTTGTTGAGTATGGGTTTTGGCATTACGGACCAAACGAAGGACTTGTGGAAGTTCGACCGGCCGACAGCTGGACTTGGGGCGGAGTCTGTTTTAAACACTTCGACCTAAGGGACGCAGACGTTGTTTGCAGAATGCTGGGCTACATCTGGGCAAAGTCCTTTATGTCATCGTTAGGTACGATTCGTCTTCTGTTGTCTCACGTAACAACTTGCTTTACGCATTCGTATTCAAAACTCATGGAGCCTTTTCGTATGCTTCTATGATGACGTTTTTTTTTTAAATCTTCCCAAAGATTTTTTAGAGGGACCAGGGCCGCCCTACATGGCTGACCTACGATGTAATGGGAACGAGAGCAGCCTGTTTAACTGCCCGTACGCAGGATGGGGGAGTCACGACTGTGGAGAAGATGAAGGATATGCCGGCGTTGTCTGCGGTACATTGATTAAGTATTCATTATAATATATCAAAGTTTAGATTGGATGAAATAAGTAAGTAGAAATTTACAGTAAAATGAAATAAACCAATAAAGTATAGGTTTTTCAAGTCCATTGCCTACCAAACTACAAGATAATTGTGTACAGTCAAGGGCGTTCAACTAGAACGTCCTTGGTATAGTCGACTGCGAATATTTAACGCCTTACGCTTTATTTCTATGTCATTTATAACACATACTACATTGCAAGTTCCCGCGTCAATTTCCACCATGTATATATGTGTGTGATAATATATCTAGATCCCAGGAGAATCCGTCTCATCGGTGGTTCCGGGTCTAACGAAGGACGCGTGGAAGTCCGACCAGAGGACGGTATGACCTGGGGCACAGTTTGCCACAACCGTTTCAACATGGACGATGCAGACGTTGTTTGCAGAATGCTGGGTTATCCTAACGCTACCCAGGTTCGAAATGATGCATATTTTGGCCAAGGTAAGGTCTTCATTTTGTTGGTTGAATTGATTTTCTTACCTCCATGAAAAATGAAGGTATTGTTTTTGGCGTGTCTGTCCGTGTGTCTGTGTGTGTTCCGCAACTTTATAGTCAGCATAACTTCATAACGCCTTTATGGGTTGTGATGATATTTGGTCTGCTGATAAGTCTTAGGAAGACAAAGGTCAAGGTCAAATATGGGCCACCTGGTGGATGACCTTTGCACTGCAGCAGAATTTGGGTTTTTGTATCTTTTGTCCTGAACATGCTGCGGACTTTTTGGCAACAGATAGAGATAGCTTTTCCTGTCAGGAATAAGTGGTATTGGTTAGGTCCCCCTAGCAGCTTGCTCTGGAACTGCAGTGGACTTTGGCGAAATCTTTAAAAGCTAATAAGTCCAGATAGGAACAACGTATTTTCATCATTTTAGTGTGTATGTAGCTGAGAGAGAGTTGTACATAATTATATGGAAATTATGCAAATGAGGACTTAATTTTCATAAACAAGGAGGAAAATCTATAGTTACAGTGTTTTATATAATAGTTATTTTAAAAAATTATACATGTAAAGTTGTAAAATGGCTAAATGAAAACAAGTTGCTGCTGCATCCTGACAACACCAAGTCGATGCTCTTCGGGCTCCCTCAGAAATTGAGGCATGTTGGGACATCCGTCAACATAACAGACGGTGTGAACGTATATAAGCAAGTTGACTCGTTTACCTACCTGGGCATTACTCTCGACCCATCACTCAGGTGGGCAGCTCATGTGCACAGAATCACGAAGAAGCTTCTTAGCGGACTCGGACTACTCGGTCAGAGTTAAAGCGTCTTAGGGACTACGACCCTAACCTACTCTTCTGTCCACCAGTAAGAGTCACGGCATACCGGAGCAGTCTACAGTACTATAGTCCTAACCTGTGGAACACTCTTCCACTAAAGCAACGACAGCTTCTTAGCCTCAGGACTTTAAAGCCGATTTTAGGAGCAGGACTTGATCCAGTTGATGTTTAGAATGTTGTATTTAGTAATCGTTTATGCACTGTGTATTTGTTGTGTGTATTTTATGTGTATCAAAGATTACATGAAAAGCAGGCCAAAATGGCCTTAGCTGTAATTGCTGGCTAGATAAATAAATTGAAATTGAATTGAAATGTAATCTATTTAATCTGTGGCAGGCTGAACATCAACAGATACCAATCATGCAAATGATGACCTGATTTGTATAATTAATGTGAAAATTCTGTGACACCTTATTGGTGATCGATGGGAATTTTATACCTCGTGATATGTGTAAGTTACTTTTAAGTACCTTTAAATAGGTTAACATCACTATACATATCATTTTGATATAGATGTCATTTGCATAATTAATGAGGACATGTTAGAATGAAGGATGATGAACAAGCCCATTTTTCATGGAGGTATAAGATCTCGTAACTCTTGTTTTAATTATATCTTTATGATCGATTCATTTTTTAACTTGCTGATGCACACTTTAAAAACACAGGAACAGGACCAATCTACATGGATGACCTACGATGTGATGGTAACGAGACCAGCCTCTTTAAGTGCTCTTACGCAGGGTGGGCGATTCACAACTGTGATCATGGCCAAGATGCAGGCGTGGTCTGCCGTACAGGTACGTCCATTTTACTCTTATACGTATACGTATACTCTAATACTATGGTGCTTCACATTCGCCTAGGTGGCGTCGCGTTGCGTAATGGTAGAATATTCGGCCCGGAACCCATGGGTCCTGGGTACGATTTTACCTACATGCCCCGACGCTGTCCCCTTGGAAAAGGCACTTACAAGGCTTTTGTCACTTCACTCAAAATTAGTACTTAGCTTCGGTTAGGTACGTTCCTTCGATAGGACATAAAATGAAGGTTTCGTGTTTGGGGAGAGCCTTTTGAAAAAGAGTGGGGGCATGCAAGTTGGTGATTACTACAAAATACCCAAATGGAGGCCTGGCGAATCAACGTTTCGTATTAGCCACTAAAAGATGGACGATGGGCATTACCGCAAAAAGAAGCAGGATGTTAGATATGTTTTGGGTAGCGTTTGGTTATTTAGGTGTGATTAAGCACGATAATAAAAGAACGACCACCTCATTCATCAAGATAATTGATGAACAATCACTTTCTAACGGAAATGCGCGAGAGTTACGGTTACATAGACAGAACCTTATGAGACATAAATGATATGTGACGTCAACAATTCATCAAACGTGACAGGGAATTTATATCGTCCTCCGTCTCTATTACGTTTGTTGACGTCACGTATCGGTAAAGTGAATAAGGTCTCGTGTCTGTAACAGTATCCCTCGCGAGTTTCACGTATGCAAGTTATAGGTCATTAATCATTATCATAAAGGCGACAGTGTTGGTTAAAATTTTATTCTTGTGTACTCTTTTTGTTGGAATGAAATTTTGCATCCTAACATGATAAACAGTGATGCAATGTTCTAATAAAAAGAATTCTGTATTACTATGATATCGTTAATAGGATGATTGTTTCATTTTCAGATTCCAGCAGAATCCGTCTTGTCGGAGGTTCCGGTCCAAACCAGGGGCGTGTGGAAGTCCGGCCGGCCGACAGTTCCAGATGGGGCACAGTTTGTAACAACGGTTTTGACTTGAAGGATGCAGAAGTTGTCTGCAGGATGCTGGGCTATCCGAATGTATATGTAGTGCGCCCTTTTGGCAAAGGTACAACTTTCCTTTACACACAGGGGTATTTATGATGATGATAATGCACATCATTTGAAACTATTTCCTCACTGTATTACTGAATGAAGATCATTATTGCATTTATGAAACAAGTTTGAACTGTAATATCCAACACAAGAAGTTGGAATCACCAAAAATTTTAACTTTACAACTCCAGTCTTTGTTAAGGAATGAGCAATATACACAGATAACACACATGACTTCGTAATCGGTAGATCTTAGGTTGTAGAAAGTCTGTGGCTCCCCCGTCTCTGCTGAGGGATGGTTGTAATGCCCTGATGGCCTCTTTAATCCCTTGTGCGAAAAAGTCCGATTCTGTGTCCAAGATTCTTTCTTTAACCAATGAGCCTGAATGTCCAGGCGATTCAATATGTATATGATTGGCGCAGTTCAAACTTGTTTCATAATGACTTCTACCCACACAGATTAACATTTAAGATAACATTTATTGTACATCTTTGCCCGACTGTGCTAAATAAACACATGTTACAAGTTCAGAATCATATGCATCGACGTTTACAGAAGGTATTACCTTTTGTTACTACCTTTTAATTGAGGCTCAGTGAGAACCCACCGTGCGTGTTTTTGTCCGTACGTTGTTGTTTTTTGTGTGTGTTTTTTGAGAGGCCACGTCTGAAAACGTGGTGAAGGACTGGCATGAGCAGTACATCAACGCACGTCACTCACACGATTGTGCAAGGTGTAAGGGCCCTGTCAAACTTCTGCGAATAGCAATTGCGTATGGGTTGCGCACATACTTTTCTGTTGTACGCACAATACGCGAGGGTACTGTGACGCACATGTAGCGTATAAATAACGAATTTAGCGCATATATTGCATATGACATCCGTATGGCGTTTGCATGCATTGCGAAGGCCAGGCGTATTCCGGACGCACTCAACGTATTCCCACCGAATGCCTAACGTACTTCCGACGAATGCCAAGCGTCTTGTGTACGTATTACCCGCTGCTTCTTTCTGTGCTGTTTCATTCGCAGCGAGTCATCATGGGCCGCCCTCAACTCAGGTAAAATGTGTTTGTTTCTATTTTTCCCCAGCCCTGGTCAATTTCCTGTAATGTATTGTCAGGTAAATTAAATACATGTACCCGGACTTTATACAAACATAACAGTTAGACTGTTAATAGCTTTGATGAATTGGAGATGTCAAGAAATACCCCCCTTAATAATTTAAAAATAATGAAAACACGCATACTTGCAAATACAGACAATTTACAGACAATTCACATAAATGGACACTACACATCACTGCGAACACTACAATCTTTATATATCTACCGACACTACATTACAACCACAGTTCAAAGCGGCTACTGTTATAAGTCCATCATCTTTAGATGTTTCATGACATTGGGTTTATATTCGCCCATAGCTTTTATGCTCCTACATTTTTATAAACTATTTTGTACCAATCTACGTACACTACACATTTTCTGGGACAAAAAAAAACAACAGGCAACTGGCGTATCATCTTAAAGTACAGGCGACAAAAAACAAATATTTTATGTTAAATATAGATATATTGATATGCAAAATGGCAAATCCTATCATCATTTTTGGGGAGGTGGTACAAGGGTGTTCTTTTGTGTGAAAAAGTGTCAAAATGCATTTTTGTGAAACATTGCACTTTAGGAAAGACGTTTTCCTAATGATCATCTACTTTTCAGCAAAACATATTAGAAACAGCCAATCTCCAGAAGATCTGTTAACCATGGGGTCTAGAGGAGCCGGTACCTCAGGTGTAGCCCAGTGTTCGGCAAGTTCACTAGCTAGATCTGTACGCGACCTTTGCGCTTCTCATTAGTTACAAATACGTACAATGCGCTGTCCTGTTGCAATACGAACGGTACTTAAGCGCTGTAAGTACGCAATGCATTTGTCTATTATAAGCAGCTTATGCACATGTGCAGTTCCAGGAGAAGATCAGCGTATGGGCCGCGTGTCCCCCACGAACGCATAGCGTACTCATACCGTGCTTGACCGATGCATTGCGTATTAAAAACGCATGAGCGTACGCAGCGTAGTTTTGGGCATGCTCAAATCTACGCTGCGTACTGAGCCGGTCGGTGCGTGTGCTGTGCGTATGCCGGCGTTCACAAAACTTACACAAAACGACTGAGATGCATATGAAGTGCGCAGTTCGCGTGGAACTGCGTATGAAAAAAATTGCCCGTACGCAACTCATACGCAAGACGATTCGCAGAAGTGTGACAGGGCCCTAAGTATGTGGTCTGCAGGCCACGTCTGGCCGTAAGCGGTTGCGTGTATCGTTCGTTGCGCAAGTTGTAAGTGAGTTGTACGTGATTACAACGTACGATCTCCACTTTACCGTATGCAGGCCGTACCTACATGTGCTGCGTACGGGGGGGTGGCTGAATCCGCAGACCGCACGCAGAGAAAGTTTTGCATGCACCTGAAGTGCTACGGCGTGTCTGCATGCACCTAAATACGTAGGATTCCGTACGGAGGCAGTACTCACCACTTACAGATCCCCCCAAATTGCCCACGTTTTTGTAACCTCCTTCGCAGTCTTGTTGGGCGTCGGCGTTATTTTTTCTCTGAGCGACGCGAGTAATATGCGGCCGCGAGGGACGATTTGCTGCCAAGGGAGTTTTTGCCACGGAGAGAAGGTTTCGCGCTCCAACAAGACTGCTTTCAGTCGGCGACTAGAAAGGGCTATCAAAAACACTTAGGAGCGATTGGCATGGATGTGTGAACTTCCCGCAATAAACGTCACCAGTGCAGGGAGGTGTTCACGCCCCGTTGCTCGACGAACCAAAACTTGCAACTTTCTAGCGGTCGCCGATCAACCCGTCGGTAGAACGCCAACCATTCCCGAAAACCGAGCCCTATCCACTCAACAAAATCCAGTAGTCATTGCTGCTACGAAAAACAACTTTAAACAGATCACTACCACAGGAACCCGCAAGCTAAACGATATTGCTGGGGGACGTGAACAGATAAACAAAGTGCCGCCATGTTGTTTGGTGGCGGGTTGATCTCACTGGTCATGGGAGGGTAACGCACCACTCCGCAGCAAGTTGCGTAATAGAAAAAACACACACATTTCACCAGCAAAAATAGTACTGCAAAGTTTGTCTTGGTTCGTTTGCATGGGATGCTTAAATATGCACAGCAATGCATTTGTTGTAACATTACCAATGTTCATTCTTTCTCTGTTGGAACCTTCCACTATAACGCAAGCTAATAAAACCAACCTGAGCGCGTGTCAGCCTTCTCCATGCGTATCTGTGAATTACCCTTGCGCGAACATGTGAATTGGACCTGCGCGAACATGTGAATTGCCCCTGCACGAACATGTTAATAGCCTCTATGAAAGGCTGGCTGAATCCGAGGTACTTTCTAGTCGCCGACTGGAAGCAGTCTTGTTGGAGCGCGAAACCTTCTCTCCGTGGCAAAAACTCCCTCGGCAGCAAATCGTCCCTCGCGGCCGCATATTACTCGCGTCGCTCAGAGAAAAAATAACGCCGACGCCCAACAAGACTGCGAAGGAGGCTAACGTTTTTGCATGTAGACAGAACGCAGTTGCGCGTACTCTGACCCTCGCTAAACGTAGGTAATACCTTTAAAATATATTACCTAATCTACAAAGTTTGCAGGTTATTGTAATGACTACATCTGATCTGTTAACTTTTTTTAAACTGTAGGAACGGGACCGATCTACATAGAGGACCTACAATGTGATGGGACAGAGAGTAGCCTGTTTAACTGTTCACACAAGGGATGGAGGGTTCATGACTGCGATCATCTGGATGACGTCGGTGTTGTTTGCGGTACGTGCATTAAACATTTGGCAATTCGTTACCATTTCAACGTTTGGCGTTTGATGAGAAGACTTCAAGTTTAATGAACATATTAGCAGCCTTGTCAAACATCCTGGCCGCTGGCTAAAACTGTGGTATGTTGAGGTTTATCGTAGAACAGCTCTCCTTTAGGTTTTAGCTTGTTTTCCAGGACCAAAACCAAAACCATACTCGATAGGCATTCTTCAAGAAGAGCTGGCTAAAACTTGATTTGGTGTTGTTCATGATGTCTGCTTTCTACTAGAGAGCTTTTTAATAGATAACCATGCAATTGACTTGATAAAATAAAGAGCCTTAAGCTTGTTAAGCCCCAGCAGGTAAATTTTATGGATGGCATTAGCATTCACGTGCATTAATGTATCAATTTTCGGCTAATTTTGATGATTTATCATACACATTATAGTTTACGGGACAAGTAGATACCGGTATACCTTGTCTCTATGTCTTTCTTTTAAAAAAACCTGTTTAGATCAAAGCAGAATCCGTCTTATCGGAGGTTCCAGTCGGAAAGAAGGACGTGTGGAAGTCCGACCGGCCGACAGTATGACCTGGGGCACAGTTTGTCACAACCAGTTTGACATAAAGGATGCAGACGTTGTTTGCAGCATCCTTGGCTACCCCAGTGCCCAACTAGTTCGAAACGATGCGTATTTTGGCCCAGGTTAGATTTACCTTGTTTCAACTAATTTTCCTGTTATGTACTAAGTATAAAGGAAACAACATGACCCTATATACAACAGCTATGCTATATCAATTTTTATATACATTTATATATTCTACGCTAGGACACATAGTCTTGATCAAATCAACTCCATTGCTCAACATCTGTAACTGGTACTATGTATGACAGAGCAGAAACAAGTGTAGATACAATTTTTTTTCTAATTTTGTTACCAGCTCTTTTTACTAATAATCGTTATGTACATCCATCACCTAAACCTAATTGCAAGTGTATAAACATAAAACGATAAATAACCATTGAAACTGTCGTGAAAGTTCATCTGTGTTTATAATGATAATGATAGAATATTTAACTTCCCACACAAATATCACACAGAGATCTAAAGTTCAAACGACCACTGTCGCCATCAGGATAATGAATTACCAATCACTTCAAAACGTCATCTCGGTGACACAGAACGCTGCTTGAAGACCAGATGTCCTTAGCAAAACACCCCAGCTCGCCCTTGTAAGAATTTTCTCAACACATCCACATCGAATCACTGGGCAATATCGTCTCATCGGACAAAGTTTAATACTTAACCTTACCTAGACCGGGCTTTTTTTGACATGGGGGGACTCGGTTCGGTAGTTATTTTGCTCCAACTATTCAAAGACACAGAATTTCAGAAACAATTTACAAATTTATCTTTTGAACAAGTTTGAGAAACATCTTTTTCAACCATATCTTGCTAAAGCGCGGGTTGTGGGTGTGGCCGAAATGCTGCCCGCCTATTGGTCCCCGCTACGCTGGCTTGGATGGGAAATTGAGGTTCGGGGGGGGGGGCGTCTTTTGACCCCCCCCTAAGAACTCGCTTTTTATCATATCTAAATTTTTTATGTCGTTATGACGTATTATGAAGTCATTGTGACGTCATTAATGTGATTTTATTGGCCAAAACCGTCTAAATAGGTTTTTCCCTGAAAACTAAATGGTATTCAACATAACTGTACCAAACGTGCTTATGACAGAATATTAGGGTGTACTAAGTCTTATGTTGCCCATAGCAACACCGGTGGCGTCATAAAATGACGTCACGCATATTTAAGATATCCGCCATCTTGGATCATCAATCTTGAATTTTCAAAAATAGTTTTTTTTTCATTATAAAGCCTAAAATACATTGTAAACATACTAAAGACCTTCATTTAAACCTTTTTCGGAAAAAAGAAATGGAAATATTGATGAAATTTTAATGAAAATAACCTGTATATACCTGTTCTAATGATATGGTCCGCCATCTTGGATTTTGGCCAATGACGTAATCAAATTAGCATAAATTATGCCTATTTAATGATAAAATTTACATAAAATTATATGGGATGTTATCAATATTAGAAAACATTAGTAACTTGACATAAAACCCATAAAATTCTATTGTTGTAACAAAAAGTACTAAATTTAGCCAGAAATGCCTGTCAGAAACCCGTTGCCATGGCAACACAAAAATTATAATCTTATTCCAATGACAAAGAATTGTTGCCAACAATATTTTAGGAAAAGTCACCAAGTTTGGCCGTTCTACGGCTAGCCGTTCAGACGCTAGGTGACATCAAAGTTGGCGCGGGCACTTTTAGCCCCCCCCCCCCCCGTAGTAGGGNCGATCTCACAGCATCCTGGTCTAACAGTCCGCCTCGCCGAGGTCCGCCTGTCTCTGGCGTCGGTCCTCGCCCTCCCGTGCGCGGCTCCGGCCCTCCTGGTCCTGGCGTGGCTCTGCCCTGCAGCGTCCCCCTAGATGTTGGTTTATACAGCATCCCATCCTCGTCGCCAAATGTAACCGAGGTGGAATTCACCAGGTTCTTTTTGGATGCTGCAAGGGAGACTAACTACAGGGCTGGCAAGAACACACGCAGGACACAGGCATTGCCGTTACGCACGCACGGGAGACGATGGGCTGGGACAGTCTCTCTCTGTAACCTTCCCTCAAGCTGTCCCTGTCTCAAACTGTCTTTTGGCCGGTTGAATATTTATGTTAGCATTGTGTCCAAATTTGTTGTCTTTGTTTGTTGTATTTGGCTGTTGTCTTTGAATGTTTATCACCTGGAGAGCACTGATTTGCATAAGACTTTAAGAGGATTGAAATGTTTCCATTGAATCAAGTAGAGTAGGCTGTGAGGAGCTCTATTCAGAATGCTGTGGTTTGAGCTGGGAAGTCGAGATCCACGTGCTCCCAGGGTAGGATGTGTATTGAGCGAGCCTCGGTCGGCCTAGTTTGCAGAGATTTGTAAGGAAAGCATTATAGCCTTTTATTTCTATGAGAATTTATTTGTTCACTGTTTAGTTTTAAATTAGATACTAAGCTTTTATAGATAGATGTGGACGGTCAGTTGAGTTCGTCTGGGTCGGCGGAATTAATGTCGCTTTATTTACGTTTGTTGGAGAATAGGGTGTGAGTCAGAGTTCTGTGGGAGTTGGTTCTCCCGTACGTTGAAGTTAGAGTTATTTGTGAGTTATGGCGGTCAGGCTTGGTGTGTGTGTTTGTGTGTTCTCGTCCCCAATTCCTGCACAGGTCCACGTGGGACATCGAAGCTTGGCGATGGAGAGGTCAATTACCGCCGCGCCATCCGATCCCAGAAGAGCGGCCCGTCCGAGTCATCACCCAAACGGGGACCCCTGCAGCGACGCTATCTTCGCCGGACACCCTTCGACTAAGGACCGGTGAGAGCTACCGCAACTAAGGGGCGACTGCGGGCGGACGTTCGTGCCCCTTGCAGCGACACGGAGGAGGGGAGGAGCACAGCTTGGAACCACCACCTGGTAAGCAGCCTTGACGCGCGCTGAGGGACGAGGCTGAGGGACGAGAGACGAGTCCTAGGGAGGAGACGAGAGATGCGACGATCAAGTGGCACCGGCGAACGTCGACGTGAAGCGACGTTTCCACGGACCTGAACTCTGACGAACGTTGGAAGTTGTAAAAGTCTAGCAAACTGCGAACTCTTCGTATTGCTTGTATCCTGTTTTATTATGTATTTCTATGTATTTTTGCGGTGTTTGTATTCCTTGTTTATAAAAAAAAACGTTGTACGCTCGCCGGGACGGCTCGCATTTAAATAGGGGTGGGTGTAAGGGGTTGAAAATGACACTTTTTATGTATATTGTAAGAGGCCATCGTCTTTGAAGTTTTTGTGGCCAGTGTGATAATCTGGTTATGCTAATTCGAGGCTTTGATGATACTCCTATCAAGGACATGTCATATAGGTGTTGTATTGTTACCCTTGCCAGACGACTGTCTGTTGTTCAATCTGTGTCCAGTCTGTGGTTTGACAATAAAAGCTGGGAGTTCTGTGGGTTTAAAAGACAGTCTGAGACAGAGACAGCTCGAGAGAAGGTTACAGAGAAGACTGTCCCAGCCCATCGTCTCCCGTGCGTGCGTAACGGCAATGCCTGTGTCCTGCGTGTGTTCTTGCCAGCCCTGTAGTTAGTCTCCCTTGCAGCATCCAAAAAGAACCTGGTGAATTCCACCTCGGTTACATTTGGCGACGAGGATGGGATGCTGTATAAACCAACATCTAGGGGGACGCTGCAGGGCAGAGCCACGCCAGGACCAGGAGGGCCGGAGCCGCGCACGGGAGGGCAGGACCGACGCCAGAGACAGGCGGACCTCGGCAGGCGGACTGTTAGACCAGGATGCTGTGAGATCGAAGCTGGAGAGCCACACCGAAGAGGCGGGAGTCTGATGATGGAGGTGCGGAGTGCGAGGACTGCAGGGCCGGGGAGGGCCAAGACCACGAGGCGTCAGGGCCGTGACCTGGAGAAGACCTGGGCGGCCAGCCGGACTGCAGAACCAGAGGAGTCGGCCGAATGAGTGTGCCTGTGTGATGCGGTGGGTGTGATAACTTCATGCGCACAATGTCAGACCGCCCAAAGCTTAGTTTGTTGGCTCCGAGTTAGTTGAGGTTGTTAGGTTTGATGTCAGGATTCTTATTCTGTCGGTTTTAGGTTGGAAGAAAATCTGTTATGGGTACGTAATCTCCGGGGAAACCCAGACTTCGGGAGTTGGGCTACGGTCCTTCAGGAGATTGTATCGCCCGGGATTGGAAGTCTAATGTCATGTTTTATTATGCAGATGTTTAAGTAACGTTATTCGATAGTTGGTTTAGTATTGGTTTACCTTTATCTTGTTTCTGGACTTATGAGGTTTTGTATCCAAGGTTTGAACAGGGGTGCCCTGTATACTAGTAGTCAGGAGTGGTAGTCAGTTGAGTTCGTGTGGGTCGGCGGAATTAATGTCGCTTGTTGGAGAATATGGTGTTGAGTCAGAGTTCTGTGGGAGTTGGTTCTCCCGTACGTTGAAGTTAGAGTTATTTGTGAGTTATGGCGGTCAGGCTTGGTGTGTGTGTTTGTGTGTTCTCGTCCCCAATTTCTGCACAGGTCCACGTGGGACATCGAAGCTTGGCGATGGAGAGGTCAATTACCGCCGCGCCATCCGATCCCAGAAGAGCGGCCCGTCCGAGTCATCACCCAAACGGGGACCCCTGCAGCGACGCTATCTTCGCCGGACACCCTTCGACTAAGGACCGGTGAGAGCTACCGCAACTGAGGGGCGACTGCGGGCGGACGTTCGTGCCCCTTGCAGCGACACGGAGGAGGGGAGGAGCACAGCTTGGAACCACCACCTGGTAAGCAGCCTTGACGCGCGCTAGAGGGACGAGGCTGAGGGACGAGAGACGAGTCCTAGGGAGGAGACGAGAGATGCGACGATCAAGTGGCACCGGCGAACGTCGACGTGAAGCGACGTTTCCACGGACCTGAACTCTGACGAACGTTGGAAGTTGTAAAAGTCTAGCAAACTGCGAACTCTTCGTATTGCTTGTATCCTGTTTTATTATGTATTTCTATGTATTTTTGCGGTGTTTGTATTCCTTGTTTATAAAAAAAAAAAAAAACGTTAGTACGCTCGCCGGGACGGCTCGCATTTAAATAGGGTGGTGTAGGGTTGAAATGACACTTTTATGTATATTGTAAGAGGCCATCGTCTTTGAAGTTTTTGTGGCCAGTGTGATAATCTGGTTATGCTAATTCGAGGCTTTGATGATACTCCTATCAAGGACATGTCATATAGGTGTTGTATTGTTACCCTTGCCAGACGACTGTCTGTTGTTCAATCTGTGTCCAGTCTGTGGTTTGACAATAAAAGCTGGGAGTTCTGTGGGTTTAAAAGACAGTCTGAGACAGAGACAGCTCGAGAGAAGGTTACAGAGAAGACTGTCCCAGCCCATCGTCTCCCGTGCGTGCGTAACGGCAATGCCTGTGTCCTGCGTGTGTTCTTGCTAGCCCTGTAGTTAGTCTCCCTTGCAGCATCCAAAAAGAACCTGGTGAATTCCACCTCGGTTACATTAACACAGGCAATATTTATCAGGGCACTCCAGTCATAACCTAACAAAAAATAGTGGGCGATTTTAACTTCCTGACACTTGTGATAAATTTCTTACGTCACGCATCCGTAGAGTCCCGTGAATATGGTCACGTGTCTGTAACCATAACTCCCGCGAGATTACATTTTTGAAGTGATTGCCGTCATTGAAGTCATTCATTATCCCGATGAAGGCGACAGTGCAGTTCTCGTTGAAAATTGTATCTTTGTGTAATCTTTGTTTTGGAATGACGTTTAACATTGTACCACAACTATTAAAATTCATTAATTTCATAACTATCCCTTCGCCATATCTCAATGTTACCTGATATAATTGGTGTCGTTTTCTTAACAGGAAGAGGGCCAATCTACATGGATGACCTGCGCTGTAATGGGGACGAGAATAGCCTGTTCAACTGCTCGTACCCAGGGTGGACGATAAACGATCTAAACTGTAGCCACGACCAAGCTGCAGGCGTGGAGTGTACAGGTACGTTCATTTTTAAAAGTTGCAGAAGCGTAGATTGTTTAATCATCTTTTTATTAATTACATATAACGTTACCTACAAACATATTTACAACATCTTAAATACAAAAATTCTGTATAGACGACCGACATGATCCAATTTTTGGGAGAATATGTTTAAAATCTGATCTTTACAATATGTAATTGCATAAAACTTCATATTTTATAAACATATAAACACATGAACACATGACCAATTACATATGCTTACAAACATATTAAAACATTTTATTTAAAATTATTCTGTAAAAACGTCCAAAATATTTCAAATTTTCGTAAGATAATAATTTACAAACCGACATGTATACATGCAATGGCAAAGTGAACCTCATATGTTTGTAAACAGCAGCAAATACGATTTTTTTCGTGTTTACTTTCATAAAAGAAATAGGAGAACCTTTCCTGTTGGTTGCTACCTGGGTTGGAATATTTCAAGTAAAGGACGGGTCAAAGGTCCAGATGACATCTGGGGGGGACGACTCAATGGAATACGACCCTAAGACTGACTTCATGTACTGGATAACTCATGGAGGCATCGAACGGCGGGCTCGTCGTGATGGAAGTAGGAAGGAGACCATTGTTAGTGGTGGGTGATATTCATCAATCCATGTCTTGTTACTGACTATCGTTGTTCAGTATGTCTTACGGAATTTCACATGTACAATGTATACGCCTGTACTACAGGGGCATCATTGTAGATTAAAATTGCAAGGAAAATCGCTTCCTTTCTGCTTTGGTCAGTTTAAAACACCCACCTTCAAGCTTAAAGTAAAATGTCACTATTTGTGAAATCTACAAAGTTTTCAACGCAATTTGAATAGAAATGTGTCCCCTCCATTTCATTCTTATTGACTGACTGCAACACATGACGATATCTCCATCTGTTGTTAAATATAGCACACGCTTGGGCATGGTACCTAAGGTTGGACCATGCTGGTGGGAATGTGTACTGGAGCGAATTTGACGGACACATCTCAGTAGTCCGGAAGGACGGATCGTTCGTCAGGACACTTAGGACATTACAAGGCACCGCCAGGCAGCTGGTCCTGGATCCCAGAAACGGGTAAATTTATTTAAAAGAAGCAGAGCTAAAAAATGATTGCAGTGTGTTTGACATCATCTTTATTGGATTGACAAAACAATTAAAGCAATACACAAGATGAAGAGTTAAAAACACCTCCGTCGGCCCCTTTAAACATTGTAGCTTATCCTCCCGACCCCCCCCCTTACTACCTTCGATAATTGTATTTTTAAATCTTTTAAAGTTCACAAGCATATAGGGACGTTACTTACCTCCACCACGTCATGGGAAACTCAAACATCACACATGATCTAATGTATCTAAACGAGTGTCCATTTTTAACAAATTGAAATTTAGACTACCACGTACTGTACTTGATGTACGTCATCTTTTATCCGACCTCTTCTTGAATATGCTGACATTATATGGCATGGATGCACTTTTTACGATTCTAAACGATTAGAACGAGTCCAATATAAATGTGTACTTACAGTTTCAGGGGCAGTCAGAGGGTCTTCATACTCCTCACTCCTTTTTGACTTAGGCTGGAAGGGACTCTCTGACCGTCGCCATGTTCTCACTGATTATGTTGTACAAAAGTACATGTAATCCATGGTCATAATCGTATCTGAGGGACCCGATTTGTCCCGAAGTTTCTTCTACGACTTCTTATGATCTACGTGATAGATCCAATCTACGGCTACCGTTTTGCCTCAAAACTAGGTATAAAAAAGTCTTTCATTCCATATGCATTACATCACTGGAATGGTCTTGATGTAGCTGTTCGATCCCTTAATTTTTCATTTGTAAGAAGCACTTAGTTAAGTCAGTATACCCCCCCCCTTACCCATATTATAGCCATGGCCTCAGGTACACCTGCGCGTCTTCAATAAATCAATCAATCAATACACTTTATTGGCGACATCTCAGGGGCGGAGGCATTTCTGCAAGTACTACGATCGCTTTGAACGAATTTCAAAAATTGCACGATTGCATTCCCCACGGAATAGCTTTTGACGTAGCCTTCGGCCTTTGGACCGAGAAGTAAACCTTAGCTAAGGCCTTTGTTCCTCTTTGCCCAGAGAATAGCTGTCTTTACTGATTTTGATGTATCAAATCTTCTTTTTTTTATCAAGAGAAAATAAGTAAACTCCTAAAGTAGTTGTCGATAAGAAAGAACTAGGAGCAATATATTCAAGCTTTACATTTCAAATACTGTATGTTTTCTTTCAAATATATCGGCGTGTGATCACATGTGAACACAGTTATATCTGAAATCTAGAGCTAACAAAATAGTATAACTAGTTAGTATATATATTCAGTGCTGAGATAGTATTCCCTAGTCTGTTTTGAGTGTGGTTGTTTTGCTGATGAATGGACAGTGTCAAGATAATACATGAAGCGTTAAGAAACAGACAATCGAGAAGGGTGCACGTGAAAACTGGTTGTCTGTTGTACCTCATCGTTAAAATTATTAGACATGGTTAGATGAGATGAATCATCAGTGTTTTGTGATGTGATTGATGTACGTGCGTTGTCTTTGTATTTCTTTTGTTTATTCTTTTATTCGTTTGAATTTCATTTTCTTTTCAATGTTCTCGATCCTCTTGAGTGAACACGGTTTCGACGCCATGCTTAGGTTGTAGCCGCTGATGCTGTTACGGGAAAGCTTGATTATATCTGTGTGAAAGAAAAAAAACATATTAAGTGTACAGAGTATAACATACACACTAGTATGAAAACTTGCGATAACAGATTTACAGCAGAATTAGGATCACATGCATCTGGTGGCAAAGACTAAGTTTATTACCCTTGTGAAAGATCCACACGATGTATTGCGTGTAGGCATCAGCAAACAACAAGAGGTAAGAAAGAGATAAATGTAAGGAATAAAAAGGAAGAGGTATACAGCAGGGGAATGTAAAGCAGAGTGTTGGAGTCAATGTTAGCAATTGTAGGGTAGATACAATAACGCATATACAACCATAATGATGTGATGTTAAAATCAAGTCTGCACCAACCATACAAATCAACTTTAGCTGAGGCATATAGTAAAATAGTCTAAAATAAAAATAGAATTAGATTTGTCTAAAACAGAAATAAAATAGGGATTTTCTAAGTAGAAACTTACTAAACCTTTGTCGATATCACCGGGTTAACTTACGGTTGAAATAACTTCATACACACGGCCTCTCTTACGAGCCGGTCATAGGTAACGGAATAGTCGTCATTGCGCACGAAACTGATTGCGTGACGTTAGTATACTATACATGTATAAGCCATACTGAAATGTAAAAAAGGACAGAGAAGATGGAGTCATCCCCTGATCTTTGGCATGACAAATGTTTACGGCCAGATTATGTCTTGAATAATTTTTGGATTCAATTCAGTCACAAAAATGAAGTCAACGATCCTGAAAAATTAAAATTTAGCCAAAATACGACACTAGGAAAGTAAACATAACCAAGTCAGGAACCCGCACAATTTGATGAACACAAAAAAAGATCATGTGAGACTATTAACTATACAGCAAAATAACTACATAAGGAAATTTAACAAAATGGACGGAATGAACCACACAATCCAAAGAACAAGAACAGTGAAGTCAGCAAATCTGGCGTTAATATTTCACCATATGACCA